AGTCTAGACACACTTTAGGGATTGTGAGGAGCTGGTCTGGAAGCAATGCAGCCAAATGGACAGAGCAGTACACAGACTTAATAAAGTTCCACTGTTCAATTTAATATGCATTCAGCTTCCCTCTATGCTAATGAAACTCACCCTAACTGAAACTTACAAATTTCTGCATCCACATCCCACTAACTTTCCATTTGCCCCGTCTTTTGTGGGCATAAATACTATTTGCGCCATCTTAGCAATCATTCAGCCTTTTAGTTTTGTCTTTTGTTGATCAAGTGCAAGTATAGAGATAGCCTCTTCCTTTCAATGAAAAACTAAGGCTGTTGAATCTTTAAAAGCTAGTCTTTTCTTCAAACTTCTTATAGGGTCTTTGAGCTAAACAAGTGTTTAAAACAGAAAGATACAGCTCCATCGAGAAAATCTGTAAGGGCCAGATTCTGAAACTCTTTACCCATGCAGAAGAGTACCTTACTCTGCAACTAGATGCATTAATATCGATGCAGCTATTCATGGAGTAAGATACTGTCCAATGTGATTAAGCATGGCATAATCTGATTCTGTTTTTCTGCTTTGGAGACATGGTGGGAAGAATGCCTACTCCCTTACACTACACTTTTATTAGTAGCAATTTTTTCTCTGCACTCGTGCAGAGAAATCTCTACACGCTTCCCAGGGTGCTACAGGTTATCCATTCCTTAACCAGAACTTCCTGGTCTGGCAGCATCCGTTGTCTGTCATGGACCATGGATGTTCCTGGACCACAGAGCCCAGAAACAGGGAGGTCTGGCGGCAGGGCAGAAGCGCGACAGGGGACACTGGTGACTCAGCCGGGAGCGCAGTGTGTGGGGGGGAGGGAGAGGAGGATGGGCAGCATGGTGGGGAGTTCTGGCTCCAGCTGAGCTCCCTGGTCCCAGCGGCCGTGGAGCTCCGACTCCAGTGGCAGCCAGGGAGCTCTTGACCTGGCCCTGGCTGTGGAGCTCTGGCCCTGTTCTGGCTCCAGCGGCTGGGGAGCTCCGGCTCTGGCCCCAGCCACAGAACCAGGTGGCTGTGGAGCTCTGTTTCAGTTGCACAGCTCTGGCCATGGGCCTCCGGCACCAGCAGTAGTGGGGCCAGTGGCATCTAGAGAGCCCTGGGGGCGGTAGGGGAGCAGCATGGGGAGGCTAGAGCCCTAGCCCAGTGGCAGCATGGGCCATGAAGGGAAGGATGTTCCCTGGTCTGGCAAATCCCCTCCTTCGGGACCAGTCAGGTCCAACCTGTACTAAAAATGCTAAATTCTTGGCTACAATTTGTTGTAATAATTGGGAGTACAAATTTACCCCCCATGTGTGAGCCTAACTGTGGGAAAGCAATTGAAAGTTCACGTCCCAATAACCTGGAACAATAAATGTTGCTGAGAAAAGGTAAAGACTAACTAAATTAGTCCAAATAGGCCAGCTGCTATTGCTCAAGGCCTGTGTTAAGATCACACCCGGTAAACAAGAGAAATATGCAATCGGAAATCAATGAACCAAAACTGGTGTGTTGGAAATTAGATCTAAGTGGAGCTAAAATTATGAGGGCTGGGCTCTTTCACCACTTAGGGATGCCACCCCTCCCAGATTGGCTGGGAGTCTACTGAAAGAGGCCTTGATCTCTAGGGGGCTATTGAAAGTTATCTAGACGATGTTAATACACCACTGAAAGTCTGGTTAGAAGCACCAAGGCTGAGGCAGGCTTCCAGCCTGCCCTGGCTCTGCACAGCTCCCAGGAGCGACTGGCACATCCCTCTGGCTCCTAGGTGCAAGAGTGGCCAGAGCATCTCTACAAGCTGCCCTCATTCTAGTGCCGATTCCACAACTCCCAGTGGCTGGGAACTGCGGCCGGGGGGCGGGGGCGGGACGGTATGGGATTGATACCTTCAGGCAGGGGAAGTGCACTCAGCCACCTGACTGCTGCTGAGCTGAGGCGACAAACATGCCAGTCACCTCCAGGGGCTGCCCAGCTGGTGCCTACACCCTTAACCCCCTAGAGCACCCCAAACCCCTGTTTTGAGCCCCCTCCCACTCCCAAAATGCCTCCTAGAGACCAAACCCCTTACCCCAACTTCCTGACTCAGCTCAGAGCCCTCTCCTGCAATGAGACTCCCACCCAGAGCCCATACCTCATATCCCCTCCTGCATCCCAACTCCTTGCCATAGCCCTGCACTTCCTCCCACACCCAAACTCTCTCCCAGATCCTGCACCTCCTCCTGCATCCCAACCCCTTGACACAGCTGGGAACCCCTCCTATACTCAGAACCCCACTGGGTCTATCTAAGAGCTATGTCCCCTCCCACACCCAAACCCCAGCCTGGTGAAAGTGAGTAAGGGTGGGACAGCGAGCGATGGAGGGAGGGGGGGAATAGAGTGAGCAGAGGGTGGGGCCTTAGAGAAGAAGCAAGGCCAGGATGTGGCTTCAGGGAAGAGGTGGGGCAAAGGTGTTTGATTGGCACCCCTACCATCACCCCCTCTAGGGGATTTTAAAAAGAAAAGTCATTCTGGCAAAAATTTACAGAAGAAGTCTCTTAAGAATCACTGCAGTGAAATCTACTATCATGGCTGCCACTTGCACCATCTCCTGAGACCCTGGGCTCTCCTGTAACATGGTTAGGCATTCGTCATCTGATCCCAAGAGATGTCCTGTGCAGTCCAGGCAAATAGATGCTTTGTCACTTCCACTGCCACCAGCTAATCCCACACTTCACTTGGATTAGGGATGTGAACGGGTGATGGTCACTGGGTAATGGTTAACTGTTATCCAGGAGTGGCCCACCATAGGCAGAGAGGCTTCCAGCAATGATCTCCAGCCTGATGTGTTTGCCAGTCTCTGAGTGGCTAACACAAGGACGTGCCATGCCTCTGCTTTCCCAGCTGTGCAGCTGCAAGTGAAAGTCTGACACCAGCGGCGGAAGCTGCATGGTTTAAAAACAAATCTTTGCTGCTCTTTCCTCTCCCCTCTTGCGTATGCTTCTCTTTTTTTATCTTGTAGGAAATGGGCTCAGACTTTAAAGCAACAACAACCGCTTCAGTCAAGCTCAAGTAACTTTTTCTCTTTTCCTTCTCAAGGTAATGACTATTCTAGAGCCTGTCAAACAAGGGCTTGTTTTCCTTCTAAAGACTCTCTCCAGCTAAAAAAAGCTTCAGGGGGTAGCCAAGTTAGTCTGTACAGACATGCTTTGTTAGTCTATAAAGTGCTACCAGACTATTTGTTGTTTTTCCAGCTAAAGAAAAAGGGAAACTGTTAAAATGAAATCCTTAGACCATGTCTATATAGCAAAGTTAAGTTGACTTAATTGATATCAACGATCACAAGTCTCTTTATTAACACTGGTTATGCATGTCCACGCAGTGCTCCTTGTGTCAGTCAGTGCAGAGCATCTACAGACACTGCATCAACAGAGAGAGTGGATATCATTATGGGTAGCTCTCCCACGGTACTACTCACTACCTAGTGTCACTCTCTGCCACCTGAGAGCTCTGGGAACAGATTGTGGTACATCCAGGGGTTGTGCTTGCTTGCCATTCCAGGATGCAGTTCTTTCTGTCCCATCATTCTATAGACTTCCTACTTCGTTTTGCACCATTTTTCAGTTGCCCTTGCCAACTGTGCACCCGCTGTCTCTGCCTAACAGCACAGATCCTGAACTGCTGACCAATCTGGGGATGAGCCTTATGAACACAGTGTGGATGGTCCTGCCGTATTTCACAAGCTGCCAGAAAGCAACTCAGTGGTGCTGGCCCTGGTCTCTGCTATGGGAACAAATAATTTAAGATTGATGGTGGCGTTCACAGAGCAGTTTGCCATGGACTGTCAGTATTGGGCTAGGGAAACAAGCACTGAGTGGAGGGATGAGCCAGAATGGGCATTGTTTGATACCTCCTGTGTGCCAATTAGGATAACAAAACCAAGCACGGTTTCTGCACTGATGCTGTGTGTAGCTCTAACTACGTCACAAACAAATCTCTGCAGCTCATTGAGGTGGTTTTATCATATTGGCATAGCAGGGTATTACATTGGTAGGGGAGCATTTCAGCGTGTACTTCCTTGCCACTGTTTTGTTGGTGAAACCTGACTTTTGTCCACAAAACTGCGCAGTGTAGACAAAGCCTTATTTAATACTCAATATTTCAAATGCCTTAGCTGTTTTTTCCTTCTATTCTGTAACTTTAATAAAAGGATTAAATGATTATTGGTGTATCAAGGCATAAGCAGGCTGATCTGTGTATACCAAATGCTGAATCATGTTTAAAACCGTTTAATGCTGGATAGGTTCCAGGTCACATTAACACTTTTGTTTATTGGGTTCATATATTTTATTGCAATGAATACAACAGATTTTACAGCAAGATAACTAATGCCTCCAAGTTCTCTCTCCATAAACACACCATTTCTTTTGGCAGTCAAGATAACTGAAGCAAGAACTGAATAAATTTCAGTAGCCTGGTTTGTATTTACACTGCTCTGGCAATGTAAAGGGGCCCTAAAGTGAATACAGATATTTTTATCCAATGGAAGACCACGCTACATTGCCAGGGGAAAGGGCCATAATGTAAATGAGATTCAGGCCCAAGGTGTCATCAATGGCTGAGATGCACTAAAAAGTGGTACCAGTATAATTTTGTTGGTTGGGAGTATAGTCATTTATCATTATCAATGTAGTTAAACCAGTATATGTCCTATTGTGAATATAGTCATACCAGTATAAAAGTGTCTTACACTGATCTAGTTAGTTCAAATTCTTGAACTAGACTAAGTTATTCTGATATAACTGAATCTGTACAATGGTGGTTTGCCATTTGGTATAGTTTAAAGTGGCAATTTTTTTTAGTACAGATAATTCTGAAAATGCAAAAAATATGTTATGAATCCTGATAACCTGTGAGATGTATGATGGTGTTTCCCTGAAGATCATACTGTATTTGTTGATTTGTATTTCTTTTGTGAATGATGCCATTTCTCCCCCTCCCTCTTATTATTGCAGGTGATTTTCAAAGCTAAGTCAAAGTACTCTCCAGAACTACTTAAATACCGGTAAGAACTGTGCAAACATTTCATGTAGCAAATATTTTTAAATGGTTAATGATGCTTTTGATGCCCACTTCTGCCAGTAGTTTAGGAATGGGCCTAACTTTCCAACATTTAATATCTGATTTTTTTTAAAGTACTTAGGAAGTTTTAATACGTTTACAAATCCTTGCCATGTAAATATCAGAAACAAAGCAATCATTACAACCATTGGCTTTTGTTTATTCAAGAATAGAGTAATCAGATCTTTCTGTTTAACTGGCTTTCATTTTCATATTTATACAACTGGAGATTTGAAAGAATCACATTTGAGTAGAAAGCATTCAGAATGGCTACTCTCTGATCAGTGGCTATTCCCTGACTAGTTCACTTCGAAGCTTTTTATATCTGGTAAGTTCAGCTGAATGCTCATCAATAGTTAGGGGGAAAGAGCATTCAACAGTCTGGCAACAGTTGTGGGAGCAGGGAGAGGATTAAGTCAGATGTTTTAGTAGGAGAAGGAAGAACGTTGAGAGGACAAGCAACCAGGGAGGATGGGTTCAATCTGGTGACTGAGTGGAGGGGGCAGATGGATGGGTTTCCAGCAATTTAGAGCAGCAAGGTGGTAAAGGCTGACTGATTATGTCAAGAGATATGGCTGGTGGTTGGTGGGCAGGAGGGGTGGTCATAGATTATAAAATGAAGGTGTATGTCAAAGAAGTTGAAAGAGAGCTTAATTGATTAATCTCCATTAAGGCAGAAGCCATAGGCCTCAATGAGGATTGCAGCCCACTGTTCTGACTTCTGTACAAGCAAAACAAGAGAGGCAGTCCCTGTCCTGAAGAGTTTAAAATGGCAATGCAGGCTGACTTGGCGGTACCTGGAACTAAAATCTCATAGATTGCAAAGCCAGAAGGGACGACTGGGATCATCTAGTCTGCCCTCCTGTATAACACAGACCATAGATGTCCCTGAATTAATTCCTCTTTAGACTAGAACTTGTTAGAATGGTACCAAATTTCAGTGCTAACTCTGTTGCTATATAGGTATTTCCCCATCATCTTGGTTACGTCTACACTGCAGGCTTCTTGCGCAAAAGGTCTAGTACAAGAGCGTGTTCACACTGCTATGTGTTTTTGCACTAGGGATGTGCTTTTGTGCAAGAGCATCCATGGCAGTGTGGACGCTCTTGCGCAAGAAAGCTCTGATGGCCATTTTAGCTATAGGGGTTTCTTGCACAAGAAACCCCTGTTGCCAGTCCACACTGCCTTCTTGCGCAAGAGCTCTTGTGCAAAAGGGCTTATTCCTCGTAGGGAGAGGAATAACTCTTGCACAAGAAGCCCTCTTTTCCAATGCTTTACTGTAAATTTACTTGTGCAAGAACGCGCGTGAAGTGTGTACACTCTACAAGATTTTTCCGCAAGAACACCTGTTCTTGCGCAAAAACCCTGGGCTGTGTCTAGACTGGCCAGTTTTTCTGGAAAATCAGCCGCTTTTCCGGAAAAACTTGCCAGCTGTCTACACTGGCCACCTGAATTTCCGCAAGAACACTGACTTCCTACTGTAAGAAATCAGTGCTTCTTGCGGAAATACTATGCTGCTCCTGTTCAGGCAAAAGTCCATTTGCGCAAAACTTTTGTGCAAAAGGGCCAGTATAGACAGCTCAGATTTGTTTTTCACAAAAAAGCCCCGATCGCAAAAATGGCGATCGGGGCTTTTTTGCGGAAAAGTGCGTCTAGATTGGCCACGGATGGTTTTCTGAAAAAAGTGCTTTTGCGGAAACGTGTCCGTGCCAATCTAGACGCTCTGTTCCGAAAATGCTTTTAACGGAAAACTTTTCCGTTAAAAGCATTTCCGGAAAATCATGCCAGTCTAGACGTAACCCTGCCGTGTAGACGTAGCCCTTGTGTTTTAAACAAGAAGACAGTATTTTTGCAACTGCATAAACAAGGCAGCTGTGAGGGTAACTGTGTCCTCACAGCTTGTATTGACATAAATCAAGAAATGATATTTCAAGATAGGAAAAAGATCAATAAAACTCACTTTCACAGAGCACACATGTAAAGAAAACGTCCCCTCTGCTCTCCAATAGTATCAGACACTTGACAAAGGAGCTTATTGTTAAACCCATGCCAATCTATGCTTCTAATAAAGCTACCTAATGGTTCCTCTGGTTTGGGGCATTTGTTACAAACAGAACACTTAAGCCAAATTCACTTTTGAGTTCAGACTGTTACCAGCAGACTTCAGGCAATTTATAGTTTCTTGTGGAAAGCACATATGAAATTCGATAGTTTCACATGATTAAACCAGACAAAATTGGTGGTTTCAGTCAAAGTTTGCTATGAGTTTTTGGGTGCAAATGAACCCCAAAGCTCAAAGCAACACTCAAAGGACGTGCACAAATGGAAATAAAAATAACAGAAAACATTTGCATGGACCCTCCCCCAACAAAGCCACCAAATGTTACACAGCTCCAGTAATGTCCCATCCTCAAGATCAGGATTATGGACAATGGATTGATACTTAAGGACTACAAGTTAACAGGCTGGATCTTATAAATTCATAACATATGCATTGCAGGGTGGCTGGCCTTCTAAAGGGAGATAGGTCTCAGCTGTGATGGAGTTGATGTGCCTCCCCGGGGGAGAGAATGCATGTGAAGGGTGATTCTGTGACTAAACTAAACTGTGCCTTTGAGGCAGAAGAAAAGCTGAGGCTTTGGACAGCCAACAGGAGAGATTGTAGAGTGAAGCTACAGGGAAAGTGTGGTCCTGAGGAAGGAGTTGCTTGGAGCAGGGTAGAAAGAACCAGCTAGAAATTTAGTTTTTCCCTTTGGGGGAAAAGACAAAAGGGTAGCCTGGGCCTTGTGTCCTCCCCAGAGGACTAGGGAACGAAGAAGAGACAGTTCCTCCGGAAGGAGGGACTCTTCCCAGATTAAGGCTGGGTTTGAGGAGATTGTGTTGATTTTGTCACTGTTTTCTAAAAGCAGATACCAACAAGGGCTAGTTTTGGATTTATGAAAGCTTCTATGTGAGTTACTGAGAAATCAAGGGGGAAACTGAGGAAGGGCCCTGCAGCCATCATCCCTGGCCACAAGAGGGCCCATGAGAAGCAGCTGAGCTGTTACAGTACTGAAATCTTGCATCTGGAAATCCACAAGGGAAAAAGTCATGTTGTTTCTGGAATTTCTGGTTTATATTGCAGTCTACATAGATGATATGCCATGAAATTCAGAGCTTGGACTGGACCAGCATGGGTCAGTATAATATGGCAGCCCTCTTATTCATTGGCTTTTACTCACCAAAATTAAGGATCTAGCAGCTATGGTTGCTGAAATGCACTCAGTTCCTGTTTCTGAGGCTAACTGATGCAGCATGCCAGTCCACAGTTGCAGAGCCTGATACAGTACCTGTGAAAGGGGTAACCTGCCCCATTCATTTCAATAGTTGCTAATTTGCAGGCCCAGGGAGAATCCATTAATTGCTAGAACTGTTCAGCCTGCTGATGACTGAAATGCTTTGATTAGACTAAAGTTACTGGGCTCAGTACAGGGGTAATTGGGTGAAATGTAAAGATCCCTGGGGAGCAGGAGGTCAATCGAAATTATCAAAGAGTCCCTTCTGGACTTAAACGCCAAGAAATTATGTTATCCAATAACAATGCCACTTCTCAAATCATAAAAGAAAGGGGAGGGACGATCATTTTATAAAGGGCTGTACAAACTGTGAGTGACAGCTCATCTTATCTTCAGGATTGGATGGGTGTCGGGACAGTACCAATACTTTTGGCTGCCCCCAATCCAGTAGCCAAGTGCAGAAAGGCTAGCAGAGCTTGGAGCGTACCTCAGCCGCTCTGCCGGGGAGCCAGGTAAAAATGTCCAGCAGGGCATACAAACATCACTGCAGCACAAAAAGCCTCATACAGCACACAGGCATGGGAGTTTTCAGACCCAACTGAAAGGGAGCTAAGCCAAAGGAATATTCATGATCGCATTTGGAATGTCTGCACAATCTTTTGGGAATAGTATCTCGTGGGCAGAACTCAGAGCACTAGTCTCAAGGGAAATATTGTTCCTAATCTAAGATAGGAGAGCAAAGTACTTTGTGTTGGGGGTGAGGGAGGAAGTGGTAGGGGAAGAGAAGGAACAGGCATGCCCATCTCTTCAAAGCCTTTTGTGAGATGAATAAACTGTAAGCCATATAGCTGTAATCTCTGGAACAGAGAGCCTAATGCTTCAGACCAATTAATTTATGTGAAAAAGATAAAAGCTGCAGAACCAATGTGCCCCTGACATAATTTTGTGGGGCTACTCCAGAGCACTCTCCTTAGAAACATCTACAAGTTGGAAACCGATCTATAAATAGCATAAATGAAAATAGCCTATCCTTAAAGGTTCACAATGAGCACTATCTTTCTTTTGAGAAGTAATTTCCACTCCAGGCCACACAAAGACAGCATCGATGGAACTGTAACTGGAAACAATCCGATCGATTCATAAATATAAGTAGTGTCTTTAGGCTCTTTCAGTTCTCCCTAGTCTATATAAAAAGGCTCTCTGTGAAGCACCCTTTCTTTTCCAGTTACCAGCGCTGGCAAAATGGAGCAATAACTCATTTGGAAATGAGCTATCAGTGCTTTAGTTTTGTATCATGATCAGGGCTGCAGATTTGTCATGGTGGTTTTCTATGCAAAGTCACAGAGCAGGCAGGGTAAATTCAGCAAATGGTGCATGTTCAGGAGGAAGTGGTGGGTAAATTTGACAGGTATGAACTTTCAACTTCATTTCTTTCAATACAGGATATGTCACTTCTGCCCCCAGTGCCCTGCCAAAGGGTCACTGAACAGCCAGAGCAGCACCCTGGTCTCACAACCCCAATCCTGGCCTGGGGTGAAGGGAAGTTCCTGGTGTGGGGGGGTGTTGGAGAGCAATCCACATCCCACACTCACCTTGCAATAGCAACCACTGTCCCAAGAGGTGCAGCTTGGCTCTTGGTTCCTGCTTTGAGCATTGTGACTTGGCATGCGGGGCCACAGCCCTGCTCCAGTTTGGCCTACGGACTCCTTCCTCATGTCACAGGGTCAGGCAGCTGAGAGGCAGTGGCATAAGAATCCCATGCACCAGGTCATAATGCCAAGAGACAGTGAGTCGGGCAGGACAGGAAGAGCAAGCTTTGTGTGTTACTGCAGGCACTGACAAAGACACCTATGCAAAGTCACAGACAAACAGAAATATCATGGTACCTGTGACATTTCTAATACCATAGGGAACCTGCAGCCATGATTCATAAATTATGCACTATTAACTTTTTGGGGCAGTATTTTTCACTGCTTTGTAGGGGGGGGGGTAAAACTTTTATTTAAAGACTGAGTTTAGATTGCTCAAATGACAACCTAAGAGTATATCCCAACCCCACACCAAACCTCGAAGAAGATCCTGTGCAATGTTCCCTCTAATTTTTTTCCCATCCATATGTGGAATAAATTTTATTATGTGCACCAAGGCAGGTGTGGATGCGCACCACTAGGAGAAACACATGCTGCCAGCTGTGAATGGCTTTGGGGGCTCTGTTAATCAGCTGGGCAGCATTTGAATTTCTCCTGGGTGGCTGCCCAAGTGCTTGGCTTACAGGGAATACTGACCTTTTTGGCTGCAAACTTGACTTACTTGCTTTTTTGTTGTCTTAGGTTAGTAACTGTTCTGAGAAGCTGATAATGCTGAAATAAGTAACCAGTAACAACTGCAACACTTTTGATTATTTTTTTAATTATGAGACTAATTGGGATCTTGGCTCTGCTACTGCATAAGAGAATAAAGGAATGTAAGGAGCATCTTTATCCTTCTGCATGGACTTTGCATTGTAATATTGGTGTTGAGGAGGGGGAGAAAAGGGAGAGCAAAACACCCATTGCCAAGTTGCTACCCCCTCTCCTGATCAGATGGCTGAGAAGTGGTGCAGCTCTAAGTCACAGTTCAGGCTTGCTCTGCTCTTTGAGCAGTGAAGTTACGGGCTGCTGTTCACTTGAAGCAGATTGAAAGGTGCCTAGCCAGCCCCAAGGTTTCATACTTAGAATTCTGAATGTCCCCTCCAAGAAGCTGCATGTGATAAAAGTTATTTGGGGGAGGAGAAGAGGGATTGGATAGCCTGCTGCCTCATAGCCTTTAGACTTTAAAAAGGGCTTCTACCTCTGACGTAAAATATGACTTTAAAAATGGGTAATTAGTGGGTCTACTTATAGCACTGAGTGCATACAAGGCCCAGGCCTAGGCCTAAAGCACACACTTGGCCATTCCACCAACAGTGGCTTCCTCATGCATGCTGAGTCTGAATGGTCAGAGGGGTTCCTGTGATGTATGATGTACAGAGCCTAGCAAAGGAAAACACATCTGTTTAAAAGATATGTAAAGATCTGTGTAGATTACATTTGTTTTATACTTGCTTTATCCCTTACAAATAAGTAGACGGCTTGAATATCAGTTTATTCTGGATTTTTAAAAGCTGTGAAATCACTGGTAATCATCCTCCAGGCCACACAGAGCATTCTGAATCAGTTTGATAAGTTTGAAGTTTGGTAAGTGCTCTGTCTCAGCTGTGACAGCTTTGGCACAGGAACTGTATCTGCCCTTTGCTCTACGTGCAGCTTCAAGCACATTGCTGACACTTGCTAAACAGTAGTTCTAAAAGCCTGTTTTTCCCTCTCCAGGTTGCCTCTTTATCTGGTTTCTCTCTTCATCAGTCTCCTCTTCCTCTTGGTGAATTTAACCTGTGCAGTGTTGGGGAGAACAGAGAATTCAGAGAGGAAAGTCATTGTCTCTGTCCGGGTGGCAATTAATGACACATTATTTGTTCTGTGCGCCATCTCACTCTCCGTCTGTCTGTATAAGATTTCCAAGATGTCTTTAGCCAACATTTACTTGGAATCCAAGGTAAAGTACATTTTAGATATCATTTAAATCTCACTGAAGAATATTGTCAGCCAAAGGAGACAATTTAGTGGTATACAGCTCAGAGTTAAATTTCTTTGACTCTCTGCAACCAGAAAGCTATTAAACCCAAGAATTTCAACTCAGCCTTTCATCCTTCTAAAACATATCGATTGAATACCATGTAGTTTACCAATGTGCTTTCTGCTCTGCAGTGTTACTAAAGATGCCACAGCACTTTAAATAAAAGTAGGGGTTTGCAGAAGTTGTCATTAGCTAGACTTTATTACATGCCGCAGCTGTGTTTCAGTTGGCTGCTGCCCTTCACCCCAGACAGTTGCATTTCAGAGCTGCATGTAGTTGAAGAGCAGATTTGGGCTCCCTCAGCCTGTTAATTTACCAAAGTTTAAATCTTTAAGAAGGCAGGAATGGCCATAACAATAAATAGTAACACAAAGTAGGAACTGTCTTTCCTGAATGGTACATATCCTTCTGCCAGTGATAAGGCTGTATTTAAAAATACTTCATCTTTATAAAAATGGCTTAGTAGAAAAGGAGATACACTTTTAAGATCCTGCAGTAGGTATTCTTTAAAGATATAGTCTGTTACGCTGCTGCAAACAAATTTTGGCTATGCTAAATGGGCAGACTTACAGTGTAATGCTAGTGAAGCCAATACTGTACATATTTGGCATGAAGTCAAAATATGACATTCTGTAATGTTTATAAAAAGTGAAAGGGATTTACTTTCCCAAAGATCTCTTGACTTTTTGACTTGCACTAAGAGTTTAAGGCTGGAAGAAAGTGACTAGAGTTTAATATAAATATGCTAACATCTGCTTCATCATGAAGCAGCCAATACTGTAAATTTCAGTTACTATAAAGAAAATCTTGCAACAGAATTCTTGCCTGCTAGTTGGCCATCTAATTACTTTTCCTACTTAGTCAATCTGGATATAACATACAACTGAAAACCTATGACTGATTGGTAGATTTCAAACTGCAACTGTGCTTTTCAGGTTTTTCATTTGCTGCCCAAGTGGCATGGCCAGTGAATTTGTTTTGCTGTCAGGGAAGCTTGTCCATCTCATGCATCATTTAAGCATGAGTTTTTTGTAATAGAGAGTATAAGATGGGGTAAATCCCTTCACTCACTTACTCCTCCCACTGGAAATTCAGTCTCCTCATACGAAGAACAACACTGAAATTAAAGTTGAGGTGATGGAAACATATAACATGCACACTAAGGCTATGTCTACACTACAAGGTTTTTGCGCAAAAACTGGCAGCGTGTCCACACCTCAAGCACATTTTTGCGCCAAAAAAAAAAACCCCCCCACAAAAAACCCCCAGTAAATTGACAGGACAAAGGACTTTTGCCGGTAGAGTTATTCCTCTCCCCACGCGGTCTTTAGAGAGTTGGCACCTTTCCATTTGACCCTCACATGTGCTAGCTCCCTCTGTTCAAACATCATCCCATACTAAAGAGAGTGAATGACTAGAGTCTTACCTCTTCACGGATCCTTAGGCCTCTCATGAGGGCATGTAAACCTCTTACAGCTGATAGGGATAAGTAAACTTTATGGTCTCTGAGAAAGGATTCTCCTTCCCTTACTCCCCCTGTGTATCTTCCTAGCACCTAGCTACTTATACTGGATACTGCTCTGAGGATTTGGCTGTAGTGAACAAAACATTTTTATCGTGCTTTTTTATTTTCTGAGCTAGAAGTGATTAAAGCTACAGCCTATTTAAATACACTAAACTGCATTAAGCCCTCCATTCTGGCAAAAAAAAAAAAATCAACGAAAAATGCCAGCTGCTTTCTTCTGTGCTGGGGTGCGTGCACTGTGGAGAACTGAGCTGTGATGTCTGAGTCAGCAGCTCCTATCAGCTTCCTCCTTCGTTTCCATAACAACATAGCTGAGTCTCCCACACAGAGGGAGAATAGAGAAGTGCGTAACAACTGTTTCCTCTTTATAGCATTTCCTGTCATTTGCTATGGTCTTACCACAGCTTTCACCACTACATACTGTATTTCTGGTTTCAATTCACTTTTAAATATCTGAGTGTCTAAACTCAGAACAAGTGTCATTGCAAATCAGGCCTGCCAATATATTATGCTCCTGTTCACAGGGGTACTTCTAGGAGTATTTGCAACATTGTTTTAATCAGATGGTCAGGCATGCAGCTCTACAAAGCTGTGCACTCACACCCAGGACATCAAACAGGCTGAGTAGCAGTAGCAATACGGAGTGTCGGATGAATCGATGCCGTTGGTCATTTTGCTGTGAAGGAAGTGCTAATAGTTTTTCATAAATGGTGATAAAATTCCCAATTGTAGGAACTTGGACCAGGCTTCTTGTGTTGGAAGAAATATGGCTTGTGAAGGGGGATGATCAATGATGGGATAACTGTATTCTGTCTCCAGGACAATTGTAAACTCTGCCATTGGCCAAGTTTATATATAGTATATTGAATTACCTCAGTTTAACCACATTATGAAATGGGGAAAAAAACAGCTAAAGCTTTCCTTTCTCTACTGATTCTTCCACCTCTCCCACTGCTCCCAGCTGCTCATGGTGTAGTTGCAGCAGAGAGGAAAATGAAAAGAGAACAGTGAGTCCAGTGACTGATATGAGATAAGCTTCTCCCCAAAAGAAAACAAACAAACAGCAATAACCAAGCAAGTCCACTGCTTAAAAAGACTCTACTGGTCAGAGTGCCAGGGGAAACTCTGACGCAGAGAGCACATTCAGACTGTCACTGTTCGGAACACAAATTCCACCAGTCTCACAGAAGGCAGAAAAAAGTCAGTACTACATTGACATGACATTTATAAAAGTGTATCATCAGCACAACCAGGCAATGGAATGGGACGTCTTGAGGGAAAGCACTCCCACAGAGTAGTAATTCTCTGTACTTTCTGAGCCTAGAGCCTTTTCTTACAGAGGAACAAACTGAAGCACTGAAAGGCTAAGTAACTTTCCCAACATCTTGCAGTTTATCAGTGGCTGAGCTGGGAATTGCTCCCAGCCCACCTGAGCTGTTGGTCCCTACGCTAACCACTGTACCATGCTGCATTCCTGTGCACAAAGAAAGCCTCCTTGTTCAGAGAGTCACAGTTATTTAGGGTCTCATGAAGTCATGCCCCTTCCATTTTGCTACAGCTGTATAGCTGAAGAGGCCCCTACAGAAATGTGGAGAATGAAATATTTCATGTGAAGGTTTGAAGCCCATTATAAGCTGGTGAAATGACATGATACATAAGTAATTGACTCTATTGTCCTATGCCTTTGATCCCACTGCTCACCTTTAGACTTTGTTACCCAGGCTAGAAATCTTGGAGTTATGCTTCTGAATGTGTGAACACTCCCGTTCCCCACACTATTGTAAAAAGGCCCATGATGAGGTGGACAGCTTCCAGCCCTGTCAGGCTCTGGACCCCATTTATATCACTACATGCCTCCACTGTGAGAGAGAGGGGGAGTCACATGAGATGGAAACAAGGTTTTTCCCTTCCCTAGAGAGGCTGAAAGCATTACGTCTGCTGATCCAGAGAGCTCAGGGCCTAACTTTGTTCTCTCTCATTTGGTTGTGTAAAAGGCTGCCCCTAGGCCATGCCCAAGAGTCCTGCTAGAGCATGGTAGGGCAAAAGGGCCTCCGCGGAACGAATCCAGCCTGCCAAGCGGGTGGATCCGGCCCGCGGAGGCCCTGCTGCTCCCCTGCCCCCAGGCCAATCAGGGCCTTGGGGCGGGGGAGCGCAGGAAGCCTCTTCCAGCCCTGCCAGGAGCACATGGCACTTTGAAGCACTGCGTGCTGCTCGCAGGGTGGGGAGGGGGGAAGAGCAGAGGCGGCTTTGCGTGCTCCCCCGCCCCCAGTCCCTGATTGGCCTGGGGGTTGGGGCACATGCCAAGCCTCTTCCAGGGATGGATGCCTAGTGGGAAGGGGGGGCAAAGGGGCTCCCCCACCCCCAGACCAATCATGGTCTGGGAGTGGGGTAGCCCCTCTCCTTCCTGTTTAGGCCCTGCCCCTTCCAGGGTGGCCTGGGGCTTCTTCAAAAAATTTTAAAGTGGCCCCCAGGCAAAAATAATTCCCACCCCTGTGTTACAGCCTCTTCCCCTCCACCTATTCTCTTGTCTGTACATATGCCCGTCTCCAGGACAGAATTAACATTGATCCTTAGCTTAGTCCTGTCTGTGCCCAGGCCCTTATGAATTCTTAATCAGATCTTGTGTCAGTATCTGTGATGCCTATGGTTATAGTCTCTCTCACTCTCCACCCTCTGAATTTCTGAGTCTGCAGCATGCTGCAGTCAGGCTACTCTCAATTGTGTGTGTGGATCACACCATTCCCCTTCTTACTCGACCCATTTCCAAGTCCAGTTGAAGAGAGCTCTCCTGACTTCTGAAACTCTCCAGGGCCCCATTCCTATCTACATTCCCGGCCTCAAATGCACCTACTGTTGCACGCATTTATCCAATCCCTCAATCTTGGCTCACTGAGACACTTCTATTGATACTAAACTATAAATTGAGCAGCTCTGCAATGCGGGATGTGAATTTCTGTGTGCAATATATTTACCAATAATTATGACCAGATGTTTTGCACTTACTCAAGGAGGCTAATAAATGGGTAATCTATAGCTGTAAAATGTATAACATTGCATTATAGTCTCAGTTCGAGATCAGATATAGGAAGTTCTCAGTCTGGTGCAGTGTACTTGGAGGTTAATTTTTTGCAGGAGGATGGAAAGTGTCCAGTAGGTTTTATTCCCCACGTACAACTCTTTTGTTCTCATTTTAAGTACTTTAAGACCAGTACTTCCTGCAGTATTAGAGAGTCTTTGACTAGTAACTAATCATGCTGAGAGCTGGAACTGCCACTTCTTTCTGGGAAAAGATTCCCAGATTAAAACAAACAAACATTAAATTCTATCCAAGATTAATACACACTGAAGCAGAGATTACCAAGTCTGTGTAAAACAGTGTTTTTGCCATCATCAGACTTAAATACTAAAATATGTTTAACTCTCTTTTCTAGGGTTCATCTGTGTGTCAGGTGACAACTATTGGTGTGACTGTTATACTACTTTATACCTCAAGAGCCTGTTACAATTTATTCATCTTATCATTTTCCCAAACCAAGAAAGTAAATTCTTTTGATTATGATTGGTACAATGTATCAGATCAGGCAAGTATGAAGTTTACCGTGAACAAGGAAAACTGAGGTCCTGTATATTCAGAACCAGGGAGGCAGACAGAATTGCCAGGCCCTAGGGTTACCAGGTAGAGCCCACCAAAAAAACAGACACACTTGACCATGGGCGGGAGGGGAGAGGGACCAGCCGGGGCAGGGAAGGGGGGGGAGAAGCAGAGCTGGTGGGGGGGGACGGACAACCGGGGGCTGCAGGGCTAGCTGGGAGGAAGGGAGATGGGAAGCAGAGCGGGAGGGGGCCACGGGGCTGGCCGGGAGGAAAAGGGGGGGGCGGCTGGGAGGAAGGGGGACCGGGAAGCAGAGCTGGGGAGGGTCGTGGGCTGCGCGGCTGGACGGTAGGAGGGGGCGCTGGAGGAAAGGGGGCAGGAAGCAGAGCTGGTGGCGGGGGTGCAGCCACTGGCTGCAGCCGGAGTCCAAGGGGCTGCGCCCCTGGCAGGCACTCCCTTGAGTTGCTAGTAGAAGCTGGGCCAGAGTCTCCCAGCTGAGAAGCGAGGCCGTGATTGGCGCTGGGAGCCTCTGGTCACGTGCAGAAGCCGAGGGGCGGGGGGAGTGGCTGGGAGTCCCAGCCCCTATCCCCTCCTCCCCCCGGCTTTTGCACGTGACCACAGGCTCCTAGCGCTAATCACGGCCCCGCCTCCCAATCACTCCCCTGCCTCCTCCAGGCTTCTGTCCGGTGCCCAGCCGGGAATTCAGAAAATACCGGACATTGCACATGTCTGGTATTTTCTGAATTTTTAACCGGACAGATGGTGCAAATACCGGACTGTCTGGTAGAAAACCAGACACCTGGCAACCCTACCAGGTCCCAGTGGGCAAGGTGGGGAGGGAGCAGGCTCCATGCTCCCGGAAGGGGCAGGGCCTCAGGGAGGAAGGGGTGGTGCAGCGGGGCGATGTCTCATCCAGGCCTCCTGCCCCAATTTAAAGGGCCCAGGGCTCTGGCCACTAACACAGCCACAGCAGCAGCAGTGGTGGCGGGGAGCCCCAGGTCCTTTTGAATTGCTGGGCCCTGCTCCCTCCCCCATCATCAGACCTGCTCAGAACTACTGTAATAAAACCTCGTTGATATTTTAAACTAAAAAAATGCACCAAGTTTGTTCTCCAAGAAGATGAATTTTTCAATAAATAAAATGGGTAGGGAAAAATAATCCAAGTTATAGAAGAGCAAGCAGTCACAAACCCAATAACATTAAAAAAAAAATCACACCTTACCTTCTGATTATTACACTCTATTTACATTTAGGTTTAAGGGCTAAAAAGGCAACTCCCCTCTATTAAAACTAGGTGTGGGGGGATTTGTTTTCTTCTTTCCTCATTACTGAAAGGGCTATACTGAATAATTTGAACCATATTTGGGTAGCAGAGAAATAGGTGATTCTATTTACAGTTTAATCACATGAGCAAAATCCTGGCTCCTCTGAAGTCAATGCCAAATTTCTCATTGACTTTAGTGGGGCCAACACCCCCCCTCAATAAAATACAAGTGTTTTTCTTGCTCTATCAATAAAAGTGAGAATAGCTGCGGGTTCCCTTCATGTAGTCCTAGTGTTAACGTACGATCAGTCACATTTTAATTAACCAAAATGATAGCTAAGATTGAACGGTAGGGTTTTCAAACAGTGGTTTATTCAATTCCTGTTGAATTTCAATGGGAGTTGAATGCCTCACTCCTTTAAGTTCTTTTGAAAATCCCAATCTTTGATCTCAGATGTTTATATCATTTAAAAGTAAACAGGCTAATGCTCAGGTCCCAATACACGCGAGTGCAATTATATAGGATGCGCCGTATCCTACCTACATTCCTGGTCCATGTGCTTCTCCAAATCTGCCATGAGGTTACATGAGACATGACAACCTATGATGATGCCCCTCTTACATCAACTCTTCTGCATACCGGGGTCTGAATCATGGCTGGCACAATTAAAGTCTCAATTCAAATTGGCAAATGACTGATTTTTCATTTTGAATTTAGCAAAATCTGACTAGCAATGCTCGGTGCCTTCATTTTTGGGTGCTCAATGGCTAAATAACATTTTGGAGCCCGAGACTGAGTCTCCCAACCCTGGCCGACAGATTCAGGCTAACAGGGTGTGTGCTGAACTGAAAAGTTGTAATTTGTGTATTTCTTCACTCTTGAAATAGCTTAGAAAGCAAGATACAGGACTATGTAGCACTTTAAAGACTAACAAGATGGTTTATTAGATGATGAGCTTTCGTCTAAGAAACAAAATAATCTTTGTAAATTTATGTAAGCATTAGGCAATCTGATGGCACATCTAGTAGCTGTGTAAAGGCATTACAAACAGAGAGTTGTCTGGAACCATACAAAGTTCCTAACAATAAAAATCCCTTTGGAAAGATATAAAATTCTATTTTACTTTGTCCATCTTCTTGCACTTGGATAGAAAGATGATGTCTGTCTGTATCTGTGCAAGTTTCTTCATATGGTTGATGGATTTCCATTCCAAACGGCTAAATGTAGTGCCTTGGATGTAGAATAGTGATAGAAATGTAGCCGTGTTAGTCTAGACTAACTATTCTACATGCAAGACACTACATTTAGCCGTTTGGAATGGAAATCCATCAACCATATGAAGAAACTTGCACAGATACAGACAGACATCATCTTTCTATCCAAGTGCAAGAAGATGGACAAAGTAAAATAGAATTTTATATCTTTCCAAAGGGATTTTTATTGTTAGGAACTTTGTATGGTTCCAGACAACTCTCTGTTTGTAATGCCTTTACACAGCTACTAGATGTGCCATCAGATTGCCTAATGCTTACATAAATTTACAAAGATTATTTTGTTTCTTAGACTTATTAAACTTACTTTCTCATTTCTGAACACGCTCCTCTGATGTTTCAACAGGCAGATCTGAAGTGTCAGTTGGGAGATGCTGGGTACATCGTATTTGGTGTGATCCTCTTTATTTGGGAGCTGCTGCCCACTTCTTTGGTTGTGTACTTCTTCCGTGTTCGAAACCCTACAAAAGACCTGGTAAATAAAATCTTTTCCAGCCACAACCTTCAGATAATCTGTAAAGCTCAATTTACTGTCCGTTTTTACTTCTCTACATTTTAACTTATTTTGAAACTGTTCTCAGTAAAAATAATATGCTTTTAATCATCCAGACAGGCCACTTGCCCCTACCTGGTTGTTACTGTAGAAAAACTTACAATTATTTTTAAAAAGTGTTTGATTGAAGCTTGTTGACTAGCAACGTGCTTTTATCATAACACTCAAACTTCAGGGACAATGACAAAGCCAAGATTTACAAGAATGGAACAGAAGTGGGGTGGATCAGGACACTGCTTTCTGCAGCTTCCTTTGGCTGGGAACAGTTACAGGCTGGGGACGAACTGGCTAAGCAGCAGTTTGGCAAAGGACCCGGGGATTACAATAGACGAGAAGCTGGATGAGAGTCAACAGTGTGCCCTTGTAGCCAAGAAGGCTAATGGCATTTTAGGGTCTCGTGTCACCCTTTAATTGGGTATAGTTACACAGGAATAGATGTGTCAGTTGAGGGGCAGCTGATTGGAGAAGCTGTGCCAAAGATAGGAGAGTGAATTTCAGGACATTGGGAGGTTGAACCAGGACTGGTCATTTGTCCAAAGTTTCTACAGCTCTCCAAACACTCTCCTGGGAATTCCTTGTTTTCCCAACCTTATTTTCCCATTGTGCACCCCTTCCTCTGCCTGCCAGTTCCAAACTGCTCTGTTATTGCGAGGGCTGGCTATGGTGAAGAGGAATTGATACTGAGCCTAGAGCAGACACACACAGGGCAGTAAGGCTGGCAGCATGAGCATCTCTACTCATTGGAAATAGAGGTTTGGTAGGTTTGATTGAAGGAATGGAGAAAGCAGAATGAAGTGAGAGATGGGGGGAAAATACTTTAACAGACTTCTTTCATACCCATGGGCTGAGAGCTTTTGATGAGGATGTCTCTTCAGTGCTATGCTTTAAAAAAATGAACAGGTGGCATCTCTGACATTCTGATACAAGTTGGTGAAATTTTCACTGATGGTTTCTCTCCCCATAGTCAAATCCAGGAATGGTACCAAGCCATGGATTCGGTCCAAGATCCTATTTCTTTGACAACCCTCGGAGATATGACAGTGATGATGATCTGGCCTGGAATATTTCACCACAAGGCATACAGGGCAGGTGAGGTATGGGTATAGTTATAGAAGGAAGAAATGCGCTGGGAACTGTAAAATGTTCTCCAAGAAAGGCTGGGTTATCCAGCACTTCCCCAATTGGAAAGCTCTTCAAAGTGGCATTTCTGATCTTCACTGAAAGCTCAGTTTATAGTCCAGTTTCTGAGGGGCCAGGCTCCAGGTGGTTCCTCAGAAGTGGCAACATGTCCCTGCTGCTTGTAGGCTGAGGAACAGCTAAGAACATCTATGCACTGGCCCTGCTCTGCCCTGAGGGCTGGCTCTCCAGCTTCCATTGGCCAGGAATCACAGCCAATGGGAGCTGCGGGACAGCTACCTGCAGGCTGAGGTACCAAGTGGTGCCACCTCACTGTGCCTCTGCCTTGGAGCAGCAAGGATGTCACTGCTAGCAGGGAGCTGCCTCAGTTGAGTGCACCCCAGAACTTCTCTTGCCTCAAACGCCCATCTACACCCAAACTTCCTCCGTGTACTCGTACCCTCCATTTCTCCAACATGCCGATAAAGTTTTTAATGTATTTATTTTATCATGATTCTGTAATCAAATTCACATATGATACTTCGGGGTGGGGTAAAAAAACTCAGAGCTCAGTAGGGAGATGTGATAGGGAACAAACATGCATTTCTGTGTGAGTGTAAGGCTGGGGGACAACCACAACAGAATGATTTAATAGCTATAAAAGAAGGTGCTTGCCCTTTAAAAGGGCAGGACCAGGTCAGTTCTTTCAGTTTTAAGTTCAGCCCTTTCACAGACAAAAGTTCTCGTAGTCCAGGTGTCATTAGGGCTCCAAACCTGAGGAGCAGACATGCTGGGAAAGGAAATGGTATAAAGGGAAATCCCTTTTGCATGAGCAGGGTATGGCTTCAGCATTTAGGGAGGCTGATCTGAGTGCTGGAAACACCTCCAGCAGCTGGACTGCAGCCCCATTCCCTGTCCTAAGGCCTTCTCCTGCTCAGCCTCCTTTTTGGCTTGCTCTCCCAAACCTCCCTCTCCTCCCCACATCTGCTGCTTTCTGAGTCACTCCAACCCCCCCAGATCCCTCACTCCCTGCCAAGTCCCTTCTCTATTTTATCCCTCCCCCCCTTACAACCTACTGCTTACCAGAAACACTCAGGACTAGGTGGGTGGGGAGTCCTGGCCACACCAGTTGGTATTGATTAGTGGCTGCCTAGCTTAGCTGCACCAGCCCATAGGCTATCACAGTGCCACTAACTGAGTGATTCAGCCCTGCAGCAGCTTGGATGGGAGAAATTGTCACGGTAGGACCAGGAGTGAGGGGTTTGGGATGTAGGAGGGGGTACAAGCCTGGCACAGCACATTGGGGTACAGGTGAGGGTATGGGGTGCAGGCTCCAGAAGGGTGTTTGGATGCAGGAGGGGTTCCTGCTTAGGGCTGTGGTGCAGGAGGAGGCTTAGGGAGCAGGCTCTGCCCATGTGGTGCTTGCCTCAGGCAGTTCCCAGATGGCAGTGCAGATTTTCAGCAGCGCAGTCAGTGGTACTAATCAGAGCTGCCAGGGTCCTTTTCAACCAGATGTTTCAGTCGGCAACTGGACATCTGGCAATCCTAGACACACCAAGTGGCAAGCATCCTGGTGGAAGGGCAATGCAGAGATGGGAAGAGGCAGAACATGTATGGGCTCCTGGAGTAAAAGCAGGAAGGGATCTTCAGATGGAGTGCAGGTTGGGTCACTGCACTGATGCCCTTTTCCTAGTGTATGGAGAAACCTAAAGGGAGCAAGTGCTGCTTATGGGCATCTCACCTGAGGAGACCTGGAAAACTGAGGGGAAGACTCTTTAGCAAGGAGAGAAGTGGGCATGAGGCTTTATGAACTGAGTTGGTGAGATGAAGCTCCTAGATAAGCCTTATTTTGTATTTGTGAATGTATTAAATCAGGTGCAAGAGAGGGACTTTCCTATGAAACTTTAGTCAGGGCTGTCCCTAGGGGGACACAGGGTCCAGAGCAAAACACCCTCATCCCAGTGCCCAGGTGCAGAGTCCCTCTGCCCTGTGACCCCACTCCACCCCTTCCCCAAACCCCACCCCTGCTTCACCCCCTCCTGCCCCATTGCACCCAATGCCCAAAGACCCCTCCCCGAGTGACACAAGCCAGGGGATTATGGGGGGAAGGCGTTTCAGCCCCCCCTCACCACAGCAGTGGGAGCCAGAGCAACCCAGCAGCCTACTCACCTCTACCCCATCACCCATTTCCTAGCCTGATGCACTTCGCTTTACTGGGGTGATGAGAAGCTGGGGTTGGGGCCACGGTGCTCCACTTTCTGCCACCAGGGTGAAACTGAGCACAGGTGCTCTGAGATGGCAAGAGAGTGGAGCAGGCTGCCAGGTGCCTCTGACTCCTGCCACTGCAATGAGTGTGAGGGGGTCTGATCTTTGCTGCTGCCCCACACCAAGCCCTGCAGGCAATCCCCCAGGGCTGACCTAGGTCCTGCGGATCCTTCCATAGAACAGTTGAGGTGCCCATCACAGGGGCTCCCAAAGTGTGGAGCCTGTGGCAGCTGCGCCAAACCATCCTAGGGAAGGGCCGGCTCTGACTTCAGTCAGAACTAGATTTAGATCCAGGGAGTGTCCTTTCACACTGCTTGTGAAACACAGGAATTCTATACATTTGAGATCTACCACTAGTCAGCACCTTATTTTAAAAGATATTATCGGAGGAATAAGAACACTATGAAATACCCTTAAAAAGAAGGCTCCCAGTAACCTCTTCCCACCATCCAAAACCCAGTTCTTGTTTCTTGGCATAGAAAAACAAACTTGGTTGAATTGGGTGCAGCTTTCTCTTTAAGGTCAGGGGACTGGACTTGATGACCTCTCGAGATCCTGTCTAGTTCTAGTGTTCTATGATAGTTCAACAAAAACTTGCCTGTTGGCAGCTGCCACATTGAGTTGGTATCTTTGCATTTGGGGGAAGTCTACACAGCCTTCCGCAAACCATAGAGTGCTTGGAGTTCACACCCATATTGCCACTGGTGGCAGAGTGGTCTGGGATCTCTGATTGCCCGGAGAACCAGGAGGAAAAAACTGATTCCAAAGGCTTGTTGGGGAATACCACCCAAAGAACATCTCAAGTGTTTGAAACTGCTTACAGACAGAACATATAGTATCCTAGCCAAGCTCACAGTCACTGACCATATTGTGTGTGGATACAAAATGGCTGTCTACACTGGCGCGATCTTACGCAAAAGTGGCCACTCTTGCGCAAAAACTTGCTGCCTGTCTACACTGGCCGCGTGTTCTTGCGCAAGTAAACTGATGTGCTAATGTATGAAATCAGGGCTTCTTGCACCAGAACTCTGATGCTCCCGCTCAGGAATAAGCCCTTTTGTGCAACTGTTCTTGCGCAAAAGGCCAGTGTAGACAGGCAACATGAATTTCTTGCGCAAGAAAGCCCGATGGTTAAAATGGCCATGACAGCTTTCTTGCGCAAGAGAGCACCCACACTAGCATGGATGCTCTTGCGCAAAAGCACATGCCAGTGTAGACGCTTTCTTGCACAACTACTTTAACACAAGAACTCTTGCACTAAAGAGCTTTTGCGCAAGATCACGCCAGTGTAGACGTAGCCAATATGTTTAGTTCTTACAATGCTACTAGCTGATTCCAAGGTGTTAGGAGACAGAAATTTAAGCAGGCTAGACATACTACTGTCCAATATCCTTGAATACCTCAAAACCTGGGGGAGGAGGGGAGGGTAAGTAAAGCCCTCCTGTGGTAAAATTCTTAAGTCATTAGTAAACTGGGCAGGAGTTCAACTGGTAGCCTAGAGGTGAAAGTCTCTAATTCAGGACTAATTCCTTGGGTCCACATTACTGCTGTACATGGATGCATACCTAAATAGCTGATTTAGATTTAAGCATAAAGTATCCTGTCTACTAACAGCTTCTTTAGAATGTATGTAAACTATATTTATGAAGTTATATTCTGTCCCATTTAAATAAATGAGGTGTACAGAGAATCACGGCATCATAAATTCTTGTATTTTGTTTTTTAGTTTCTCTCCAGAGTACTATGATTGGGGACATCAAAACAACAGTTTCATGGCTTACATAGGATCGCTGCAGCCAGAGTCAACAATGAACACAGAACGGCCAAGCCCTATATAGCTCCAATCAATGACAGTATTAAGACATTCTATATTCTGAAAAACATAAAAAACAAAAACATAAAAAATATTCTGAAAAACAAAGTTTAGCCATTTTCCTTCATTTGTTGGTTTTTAGGGGCACTGTTCTTGTGCAAGGAATAAGAGATCTTTGCCACAGGATTCTCGTAATTTGAGAAAAAGTCTAGATTAAATAATGGTTTAATGTCATGAAGCCACATTTTAATTACATTGTTTTAAAGACTTGGTATTTTAGACTGATCCTACATGTGCTTAATTTTATGCACTAAAATACATATATTGCAGAATAAGGGCCGTAGTGGACATAATGTATTCACTGTATCTGTTATTTAAATCTCAGAAAGGTAGCTTTGTTAGTCTGTAACTTTAAAATCAATTAGTAGTCCTGTGGAACCTTAAAGACTAACAAATATATAGGATCATGAGCTTTTGTGGGTAAAACCCTCTTCATCAGATGAATTGTTCACGTTTTACCCATGAAAGCTCATGATCCTATACATTTGTTATTTGAGAGAGAGAGATTTACAGAAACTAAACAATGTTGTAACATACTGGAAATTCTTTGAGACTTTTAGTGTATATGACCAAGACTTTTTAAAATGCACATGTCACTTTATAAAATATACCATACCATTTATAATGTAATCTTCCCAGTTCCTTGTAATGTACGTTTCAATTTGTCTGAAGGTCTGCACGCGCCAGACAGCAATACAGATCAAGTTGAGCTCTTTGTTGGGTCTCCCCAGACTTTTGCCAAAGCAATCCCTCTATTTTCGGTTTCATCTCCACAGACGTTGGTGGATGGAGGACCCATAAAACAATTATTTTGGAGAAAGGCTGCATACTTTAAGACAATAATCTGGAATGCACAGTCTTCTGTCAACTTTCCAAACACATCATTTGCCATATTATGTAATGCACAGTGAAGAACAGTATTTGCTGCAATAACATAGCAACAATTTTCAAAAGTGCTGCCATGTAAAAGAACAGTTACTTACCTGTAACTGTTGTTCTTTGAGATGTGTTGCTTATGTCCATTTGAATCAGGTATGCGCACCGTATGTACCGCGTCTTCCGGAGCGTTTTCCCTAGCGGTACCCGTAGTGCCAGCAGGGTGCCCCTTGGAGTGGTGCCACCATGGCAGAACGTAAGTACCCCTGCCAGCGCTCCCCCACCTCAGTTCCTTCTTGCCGAATGCTCCGACGAAGGGGGGGGGGAAATCAAATGGACATGAGCAACACATCTTGAAGAACAACAGTTACAGGTAAGTAACCATTCTTTTCTTCTACAAGTGGTTGCTCATGTCCATTTGAATCAGGTGACTTCCAAGCCAACCCCACTTACGGAGAAGGGGTCGGAGCACCCAGAAAGAGAAGTCCACGAAAGCTGAACAACCCAAACATATTTATTCAAGTTACAGAACACAGAGAACTGTTGAATAAAAGTGCAATGTGGTACAGAGAAAAAAACTAACATTTACAACACAGAGTTGAGAACCGCAGAACCCAAACCTGCATCCTCCCTGGACTACTGTGTCAGCAAAGTGCACTGCAAAGGTATGCACTGACAACCACGTGGCCGCCCTGCAGATTTCAGTAATTGGAACCTGCGCCCCAAAAGCTACAGCGGATGCCTGTGCCGTGGTGGAATGTGATGTAACCCGGGGCGGGACCTTCCCGGTCAGGACATAACACTCCCTGATACACCCTGCGACCCAATTGGACAACCTCTGGGTCAAGATAGGGAGCCCTTTCATTTTATCCAAGAAAGCAACAAAGAGTTGCGTGGGCTTACGAAAGGGTTTCGATCTAGCGACATAAAAGGCTAATGCTCACCTAGCATCTAGGGAGTGGAGCACTTGCTCCCTAGGAGAGGCATGGGGCTTTGGAAAGAAAACCAGGAGATAAATTTCTTGGGACAGATGGAACGGTGACACCACCTTGGGAAGAAAGGCTGGGTGAGGGCGGAGCCTCACATTATTTTCTGAGAACACTAGGTAGGGCCGGTTTACAGTTAGCGCCCTCAGCTCAGAGACCCTGCGAGCCGACGTAATGGCTACAATGAACACAACCTTCATAGAGAGGTGCTTCAAAGAGCACGTGGCCAGCGGCTTAAAGAGGGGTGACACAAGTCTAGACAACACAAGGTTAAGGTCCCATGTGGGGAGAGAGAGTCTAACGTAGGAGTACAACTTATCCAAACCCTTAAGGAACCTTTTGACCTCAGGGTCAGAGAATAGAAAGACTCCTGCCAATCCAACATGGAAGGCGGAGAGTGATGCCACATGGACTTTGATAGAAGAGGTAGAGAGGCCACTGGACCTGAGTTCACAAAGGTAGTCCAGAATGGACAGGACAGGTGCACAGGAGGGTGCACTCCTCTTCTGGATGCCCAAGATGAGAACCGCCTCCACTTGGCTGCGTAGGAGATGGTAGATTTCAGGATCCCGACCAAAGGAAGGAAAGAGAGTAGTATGATACACACCTTGAACTTCCAAAAAGCAGATTTTGACTCTCTCAGAGATCTGATGGGCAGAATCCCCTGGGATGCTAACATGAAGGGGAAAGGAGTCCAGGACAGCTGGCAGTATTTTAAAGAAGCCTTATTGAAGGCACAGTAAGAAACCATCCCGACGCGTAGCAAGAGAGGCAAACATAAAAAAAGTGGAAACTTGGACAAAAAACCAGGGAGGAGTTTAAATGTACAGCTTACCCCTAAAGTACAAACCAGGACACAAAAATTAACCACTACCAGGTTAATAAAAAGAAAAGAGAAAGAACTTTTACTATCATCCCAATATTCCTGTTGCATGCATAATGGCTAGATGGAACAGTAACAAAATAATACACTCACGGAGGAGAAATTTACCATAGGCCAGGAATTTAGTTACAAAGGAGAGCAAAACCCATTTTTAAATGCACAGACCATATCCCATTTCCCAAACCATAAAACAATAAAACCTAACGGATTTATCTAAACTTTATCCTACTTACAGACTGTGAAGAGTATTTTCTTAGAAGGAAACATCCTGTCCCCTTCAATAGTTGGAGAGAAACTACCCAGAGACAAAGGAGGGAAAAATCCAAAAATTCCTTTGTCCCAGTTTGAAATTCCTACCTGCATTCCTATTGGCTGAATCTACCTGGTTAAGTAAGGGACCTAATTAACCTCTTAGTTCCCAGGCTGCTGGCTAACCCTCATGATCATGACAAACATACTAATTTTTTTCTAGATAGAACTCTTGCAAAGGTACCAGCACATCTTTGAAGGCAGCTTTTTACTAGCTATGGATCACTCCTAGGGAAATTTTGATCCTTTGTCCTGGAGCTTCGTATGATCTGTGAGAGACCCTGGGCCCAAGTCATCAAGCGCTTTTGAAGCAAAGACATGCTGACAACTACACTCCTCTGACACAAAGGAGTTCTCTACAATAAGGTAAAACTCATCCTTATAGCACATTGTTTACTGCTCTAATGGAAGACGATATCAGATATTATGGTGATAAGTGTAGTATAAAAACCTGACTAGACTAAGCTTCTTGATTAGTAAGGGCAATATGTAGGTGCCCATGTGATGGGTGCATACAGACAGGGCTGAGGCCAGACTTTGCTGTGCCCTGAGAAGACTGGCTCGGGGCCCCTGCAAGTGGTGGCGCCTTGGGCAGAAAGAGGCAGGACTTGTAGATGCATTCTCATATAAATAGCACTTATAATACTGTGAGCAAGCCCTGAGACAAATGATATGCTTAAAGTTAAGCACCTACCCAGGCATTTGCAGAACTGGAGCTTGTGTTTGTTCTGTGGATGAGGAGAGAATTTCAGATGGGAGGACTACCAATCTGACATCTTCATCTAGCACTAAATTCTCTTATTAAAGAGCAAAAAGAAATTGCTGCCTTTGCTTAGGTATTGTGCATTGTCCCATAGGAACAGCATGGGAAAGAGAAGCCTTTGGGTAGAGCTGATTGATGTATTACATTGCTTGTGCACTAAATACTATATCTGCAATTATATAAAGAGGAAGGATATTTTTAGTAATTGTTGGTTATTAAAGCCACTGAAAAATAGTATGTTTCTCTAGGTACAACTTATTCTGTTTGTGGGTTTGGACACCATGCCAATATTTCAATAATATATACATTATGAACTGCTATAGCTGGCAAGGTCTAGCCAAGTCATCTGTTCCAGGGGAGGATTTTGTTGCTCACTCAAAATGAATAGATTCTGAAGTGGCATCCAGCATGGAAAATGAAGGAAGGTCAGGGGTAGGATAATATTTATGGAAGATAGAGCTTTTTTTAGTATGGCTTCAGGGTTTACTCTCCCCAAAAAGACCCATTTGTATGCGTTGGAATGTTGAGAATTCAGTAGGTAACACAGTGTGACTAAAGCACACATTTAAGCCTCCTGGTGTTCAAAAAAGGGTGAAGTTTTTCATTATAAGCTGTTCTAATGCAGAATATTTTGCCTAAAATAAGTAACATGCAAAGGGGTGTTCCAGCCCATCTGAGACCACACTAGGAGGGTGGTGAAGCACTGGAATGGGTTACCTAGGGAAGTAGTGGAGTCTCCATCCCTAGAGGTGTTTAAGTCTCGGCTTGACAAAGCCCTGGCCGGGTTGATTTAGATGGGATTGGTCCTGCCTAGAGCAGGGGGCTGGACTTGATGACCTTCTGAGATCTCTTCCAGTTCTAGATTCTATGATAAGGGGATGGGTTGATGAGAGAATATGATCTTGGTAACTAATTGACCATTCATTTTCAGTGGGAAATATGTCAATGAAGGGATGATAGGAGTTACTATAGAGAATTTCTGGGTGTCTGGCTGGTGAGTCTTGCCCACATGCTCAGGGTTTAGCTGATCGCCATATTTAGGGTCGGGAAGGAATTTTTCTCCAGGGTAGATTGGCAGAGAACCTGGAGGTTTTTCGCCTTCCTCTGTAGGGAGCAGATCACAGCTGGAGGACTCTCTGCATCTTGGGACCTTCAAAGTATTTGAAGGCTTCAATATCGGAGATATAGGTGAGAGGATTATTCTAAGAGGGGTGGGTGAGATTCTGTGGCCTGCACTGTGCAGGGGGCCAGACTAGATGATCATAATGGTCCCTTCTGACCTTAAAGTCTATGAATGAATCTATGGATGAGTTATTTTCTACTGTGGATAAAACTGCAGAGGCCACCGTAGCATCCGAAGCCCACCTCCTACTTATGGCATAATAACACGCAAAAGTTACACTAGACACCCAGGTAGCCGCGCGACAGATGTCCGCAAGGGGAACTCCCCTTGCGAAAGCCGTGGAGGTTGCTACTGCTCGCGTAGAGTGAGCCCGAGGTAAAGAAGGAAGAGGTTTGTTCCGAATCGAATGGCAATTTGTAATACAAAGAGTAATCAGTTTGGCAATGCACTGAGTGGGAAGTGCCTTGCCCTTGGATATCTGTGCCGTTGATACAAATAGCCTGTCGGTGCACGGCCATTGGCGGGTTCTATCTATATAGAAAGAAAGTGCACGTCGGACATCGAGTGTGTGGAAAAGAGCGTCCTTACTTGAAGAGTGAGGCTTAGGGTAAAAAGCTGAGAGGACAATAGGCTCGTTAATGTGAAAGGGAGAGCAGACTTTGGGGATAAAGGCCAGGTGTAATTGTAGCC